TGTAAGGTTTAATAGTTAATATTTAGGAATGGAAAACAAAACTCCCCTTTTAAATGTCACTTAAGATATGTGCGTCCACCACCCTAATATCCCATTTATACTGTCGGTGAACGTCAAGAATAATTTTGTGTAACTTAATGCAAATGCACAATGCAAAAAGTAAAGCACCCAATGATATAACAAAACTGAGATAAAAGCATAAAGGTGAAGAGCACAACCTGCATAAGTAGGCTTGGGCCAACTGAGGCTAGCAACTTCAGACTTAATTGTCCATTTCCACTTCTCTTGAAGAGTCAAAGTGAGCTTACAAATATGAAGATCTGAAGCCAGTTTGAAGCCCACATGAACAGCAGCAATGCCACCATACGCTAAGGGAACTAAAGAAAAGATCGAACGCACATATGTCTGAAAAGGGCTAAAAAGTGGACAAAGGCATCCAACTATTGCTCACAAGTTAAAACGGTTAGCCATGTACAATCTATAAATAGATAAATATAACAATGACACCGTATATACAAGTTGATTCAAAAATAACGACGTGCCATTCACAGGTCAGGACCCGATTTAAGAGAAGTAAAACGAACTCCAATTCGACTTCCAATAAATCAAAAGCCTGGAAAAAAAGGGGGGATTCCACGTATCATAAACAACAGCAGCAAATACGTACAAAGCAATCAAGAGCCGCCGCGAACAAACCAGATGCGCACATGCAAAACCATGTGAGCCGCCCCCAGGCAAAACGCGCAATTCATGACAAATTCAAACAAAAAATAGTCAAACTGAAAAAAGGGTTTCATGTAAAATGTGTAAAGTATTGCATAAGTTAGGTTCTTTACTTAAAAGTAAGACAACTAATATGGGGTCTTGTACTAACAACCATTTAGTTTTTAGCCTCAAAACCTATAAATAAATTTGAAATTAGTTTTTTGATGACTCTAGTAAGTAAAAAGTAATATTTTTCCTTAATTCCTTATACTTAAAACTTATTTTAAAGAATATATTGGAGAATTAGTGTAGTGCCTCAGGCCAATAATGAATCTGCAATGGACTATACAAGTGTCAAGCACCATTTACAGATAACATGGTCAACGTTTGAAAGAGTAAGGTCTTAAAATTTAATTATTCAAATACAACAATGAAGTACGCGTGGTGAAAGCTCTGTTGTCTACAAACTGCTTTGTTCGAAACG